CTCTCCTGTCTCCTAGCTCCTCCATCTTCTACGTTCTCTCCTCTCTCTCCGGCTCTTCCCTCCCTGTCTTTTCTCCCCTCTGTCTCTCTCCTCTCTGGCTCTTCCTCTCTCCCCTCCTCTCCGTAACGCAGTGGGCCAGGGCAAAGGCCTCCCTTTGCGGGGATGCACGTGTTACCTTGCATCGTTGTCCTCTGGGCTTGAGTCCCGGGCCTTGGCGTTGAAAGCTCGCAGTTCACAGTGCTCTTCCTCTCAGAACCTAGCCATCTTTGAAGATGTCCCTTTTAATTTGGAGTTGCGTCTGGGAGCTGTCTTCCTGAAACTAAAGCACATAATATATAGAATGTCCAGTTTTGCATCTTGGATCTTATATGGTTACAGACTTATAAATAAATGCGCTGGGAGGTGTGCAAGTGTATACAAGTGCGTAACTTTATCCCGCTCTTGAGTGAATCTTTCTAATATGACCAAGGACACAAATTTCCCCCAGGATCTGATGTTAATAGGTATTCCTGTTTGACCCAAAGGGCTGCCATATTATTTCCTCCTTTCCAAACTGGTTTAAAGCTCTAGTTCAGATTATATCCACTTGCACACCCATGTTTTTAACCAGGCTCACAAAACAGTAAACACTGGGCCTACTTCTGGACAGACTTACAGAACAAAACACCAGGAACACAAGCAGGATGGCTACTTTGTACAAACCAGTTCCACCTGTTTTCTAGAGTAAGGGCACTCACTGAATGACTGTCCACATCAGTATCAGCTCTGGGGTCAGAGCCAGGGAGGTAAGGAACAAATCACACCTCTGCCAAAGGAAATGGAGATCCCCCCCCCCACAATCTACTTCAGACATCCAGAGGTCAGCCGTGGTTTCTATGGAAGAATGCCCGGCCCCTTCTGAGTCATAGCTAGGTGATTCCATTTAGGTCAAGAGACAGTGGTAATCAGCTTTGTTGTCTCACAATTACGAGTAGGTTTAAATTAGAAAAGTTAATGTGCTCAGGGAAGCAAGCAAGCATGCATGCACACACGTGCGCACACACACATGCACAGATAGAGTAGTAACCCCATGTCATCCTAGGACTGATACACCTTTTCCCCATGAGGAGTCAAAAGAAGACAGACAGACAGACCCTCCCCCTCCCCCCTCCCATGGCCTGGGGAGATACTTGAATTTTTCCAGCGTTGCCGCACATACTCATTATGGTGAGCTTTGCTTCTTACAACGTCGTGACTGTTTCCCAGAGAGCCTTGTTGGATGGGTTCGCCATTCCACAGATAC